TTAAGTGTATTTCACCTTGGTTCAATGTGTTATACACGTTAATTTATAGTGTTTCAAACTTTGAAGTGTTGAAAATCTTTCACTATCTATTCAAGTGTATTGCACATTGAATCACGCTATGTATGTATGTATGTATGTAAGGTAGCCACCATCCCTTCGAAGATCTTGTCTTGTATGCAGCTCCACTTAATAGCAAGATCAATTTGAGCTACCGATCTGAATTCACAATATCACTGTATGAAGGGCCAAAAACGGTGGGGTGGACCCGTAAGCAGAGACACTTACGCGAAATCCACGGGAATTTAAGAATCTCCTTCCAACGATACGATCCAACAAATCGAATAACGCAATTCGCAATACTTATTAAGCTTCCTACAGGATGGTTTGTTAAGAAGGGCGCGTCAATCTCACTGAAACTGTTGGAGTAGAATTCACACCATCACAATCGAATCGGTAGGATAAAGAAAATGATAGTGTTTATTCCCTCCTAGACTCCGGTTGTCATACCACTCCAATCGTCCAGTTTCAGGTCAAATGATACCCTGATGCTCCCTCCCAACCCAGTATTTATTTATATATATATATAGTAAACATATGTAATGGAGAAATGAAATATATCAGAACATTAAAATACGTAATAATGAAAATACATTTTTATGGATAAAAAAACTGTTATTCCGCAATGAAAATAATAATTATTTTACATACAATATGATGCAGCTCTATGTCTCCTCAGCTCCCAATAAGGAAGATGTAACCCTGAAATTTCCAACAAAAGACACAGAAAAGGAGATTTTGTTAGTAAGTTGGGTTCGTTGGATCAGGATTCACCTTGATAAGTGATGCGACCATGGTTTTAAATGAATCAGTGTTATCATGCATTATACTTGGATTTGCCCGAAGCCAAAACCAAATGGTGTATCATTGGGCTTTATTACGGGTGTCACTACACGGTGATAAGAAAGTGATACTCAGAATAAGAGCCGTGATTACCGTACAAATCAAATGGGAATCACTTCACCGTGACGACAAGTGACAACTTTTCACCGTGATGTGACATCCGTAATAAGCCCCCTTATAATATAAATCTGAAGACGTTCCATCATCGAAATGCTGAAAATGAACTTAGAGCATGAGCATGAGCAAAATTGATCGCCCACGACTGCCAACACCAAAGAGCTGAAAACCAATTCAAACAAATCAAATCAACAGACAAAACCAGGGTGAAAGCTGTAAGAGTGAATCATTACAGTATAAATCTAGTGATGTTCCGTCATCAAAGAGCTGGAAGAAAACTCAAATAATTTAAATCAATAGATCCAGTCTGAATGAAGGCTGCAAAAAGAGAATAATTATACAGCAATGACCCCATTTTGTCAGCTAGCAAAGTATGCGTATCTTAAACATTCATCTTGAAGGAGGAAGGTATGAAATTACAATTATGTGGAATTATTGAAAATTAACAGTCTGATGCGCGGAGAGATTGACAGGATCGGGTCATAACTGTAATGTGAATATTAGGAAGATTTATCATCATCAAACTATTCTTGAATTGACCTGGAAGAATGCTTGTGAATAATTGTTATACAGATAAATTAAATTGATAAACTAAATGGTTCAAACAACAACTCCAGCCTGTAAAAAAGCTGAAAATAGGGAATCTTTACAATGTGGATCCCCGACGGTCTTCTACTCAGTAAGCAAAAGCGGCAGCCACCAGGCTAGTCGATCTGCTCAATTTAAATATTGAAACCTTATTTTATGAAGTTCTTAAGAATACCAATTGAAACACAATGTAAACAAATAAAAGTTAAGAGTCTCATCCGAATCAAATGATTCCAAACGATACGCATTCATAGAAATTAAGTTTAAATAGACAAAAGTAGAAAAATGGAACAATCTCACCAAATCAGTCCAACTGAATCCCTTGCAAGCAGCTATGTCACGCTTGGTGTAGTAGCTCCGATCATAGACCCACCCTACGGGGATCAATCCTCTGGTCGAATGTAGTCGATTGTTCCATGACGCGAACACGAAGCGACCGCTCACAAAATCATACAACGCGTAAGCAAACTGAAATCAAAAACTATCACACGCGACGCCACAAATTTCTGTACCGGGAGCACAAGCGAAGAAAAAAAAACAAACAACGCAGATAGTGACACTTCTTCTGATGCCTGCAAACATGATGCATCACGTTTTCTTTTTCGATTCCAAAACTTCTCGGAAAGCGAGAAAACCACCAATCACACACGTATAACCGTCCGGGAGGCAGAGTGCCAGCGCTAATCTGGCAAAATCAGCGAACGCACGCACAAAACAGAAATAAACTTATACACAACCGTATCCGAACAGGTTCGAAGCTGAACTGATTGCACATTGAATCACGCTACTGTTCAAAACAGATGGATTTAAAGTGTTTTGCATTTCACTACGATGTGAATTGCTTGCTTAGAAAGGTAAACATCGATAACAAGAGTTGTGACTTTATCCTATCAACCTGCCTCATATATGAGAACAACCGTGGCACAGTGAGATCGAACGAAGACTCCGGCAGCAGCATACCCCAACAGTCCATGATAGAATCCCAAATCAGACCCATTAAAAATATATGTGAAAGCTCTGGCCTCTGGCAGTTTTGTTTATATATTTGTCGATTCATTTTTATAGTCGGTTAAGTAGAATTCGATAAAGTAGAATATTGTAGAATATTGAACTGTGGTGTGCAAAGCTATTGATATCACCATATGAGGCACATAGAATCCAAGTGTGTCACAATTCAACTCCATAGTGTTCAGGCATGGTTCATAGCATAAGATTCACACATGAAATGGATGTGTTTCACAATAAGCGCAAAATTAAGTGTGAGACACATGATGATGGCGTGTGGAATTTTTTGAGTGTAGCATAATCCAGAAACTCACACATAGCAACGCGTAGTGCAAAATATTCAGCTACCAATTATAAAGGGCGATTCAATAATGACGTCCGCATATATATCAATTTTATCACCTCCCTTCCCCCTGCGTCACGCTTTTTCTAATACCTATTACACGTTCTGTCCTGAATTCTAAGACCACCTTACTTACCAATCTAACTTACTAAGGCCTTGTTGTCCTCTGCTGTCCGAAGAAGTCGTCTCCACTCTACTCGATCCATGGCCACAGTTCGCCAGTCTCGTAGTCTGCGAAGGGTCCACAGGTCACCTTCTACTTGGTCGATCTACCTTGCCCGCTGCGCGCCTCTTCTTCTTGTTTCTGTTGGGTCGCTTTCTAGAACCATTTTCACTGGGTCGTCGTGCGGCATTCTTACGACGTGCCCAACCCACCGTAGTCGCCCAATTTTTGCAATGTGGACGATGGATGGTTCTCCCAGCAGCTGGTGCAATTCGTGGTTCATTCGCCTCCTCCAGGTTCCGTCATCCATCTGCACTCCACCGTAGATGGTACGCAACACCTTCCGTTCGAAAACACCAAGGGCAGGTCCTCCACGAGCATAGTCCAGGTCTCGTGGTCGTAGAAGACCACCGGTCTAATCAGCGTCTTGTAGACAGTCAACTTCGTGCGGCGGCGAATTTTATTCGACCGGAGCGTCCTCCGGAGTCCAAAGTAGGCACGATTCCCAGCCATAATGCGACTAAGACCGCCCCTCTCCCTAAATAGTGGGAGTCATATTTTAATCGCCCTTAGGTCTATCATTTACTGAGCGTAATTGGACGAATACAGTATCTTTGTTAAAACATTTCAATACGTCTCATTGATGTATTCCATTCACCTGTGATTTTTATTATATGTGGTAGATATGTATTACAATACATCTTTTAGAGCCTCCCTTAGAATTGTGGATAAAGGAGCACAGTTAAAATTAAGACCACACTGGCGATGGCTGTGTTCTCATTCTGGTCCAGTCAAAGAATTTTCGGGTTGGAAAACTTCTCGACTTCCTTGGGAATAGGGTATGTACAAGTGATTTTGATCCATTCTCTTCATCGACTTTCTCTTTTGATAATCTCGGCTTTACCAACCAATTTCACACTATTTCTGCTGCATAGTTTGATAAAGGAGGTTATCATCTGTCATGAAGGATAGCAACCGCATCAAGGAATATGTTTACCGCTGAATTATTAAATAAATACATAGTCAATGAAGAGAATCAATCAAAATCAATTGCACCCCTTTGCCTTTAACCCCATCAGTTGTGAGCAAGCGTAAAGTTCAGGTTGGAGGATAATAGCCAAAGAATAAAAAGAAGAAGATTACATTTTTTTTTTCTTTAAACCATTTGGCACAAATTGCATGAAGCAAGTTTGCATAACTGTGGCTACTCAATTAGAATATCGAATGAATCATAAAATTAATAGATAAATGCAGAAAGGACCCCTTGAATTGTTAATCTAGATATATAGTCAATCCGCAATTGGTGAACGCCAAGCGGACCGTTGCGTCGAAGATCCTATCGAGGAACCGAGGGTCACGGAAGATCAGCCAACGCATGATAATGTAACCCGTGAGGATGGAAGAGGTCAGCCAGCTACGCCAGCTACGTGGTCGAGCGACCAAACGAAATTATAGAAAAGTTCTCCTCGAAAAGCAGACCGACGATCTCAGCAAGATAAAGCTGCATGTATCGGATTGTGCTCGATATTCGCGTTAATCGTACGATTTACACAAGAAGCGGTTTGAGTTAGAAATGAAGCGTTTTCAGCCGGACGAGGAGAAATTCAACTTCAACAAGCAAATGCTGCTCGAAAAGCAAAAGCATAAAAGTCAGCAGCTACAATATCAGTTGCAGCTGCTTAAATATAAGAAGCAGAAGCTCGATTTTGAGATGGGACGGAAAACAACTGGCAGTACTAATGCTGAAGATGAACACGAAGAGGCGGAACGGGACGATAGTGACGATGCAATGAGCTTTATACAAAGGTGAGGAAATCCGCACTAATACACACAAATAGATCAGCTGATTAGTGTTGTTTACTTTTTCCTCTCGCGTTGCCTACGTCACCATTTGTGTTTACGTTTTGATACTAGCAGTTTTTTCATCGCTGCTCGGTGTAAGTTATCTGTTTAAATCGTTTCAGCCAGTGAATCTTTCGTTAATAATGCCGAAGTGTGCAGTGAATGTGTGCTTGTTTTCTTCTGCGGAAGCTGAAATAAGTGAAAGAACCGTGAGCTTCCATGTGTTTCCGAAGGACGGTAAAGCGCGGTCCCACTGGGTCAAATTTTGTGGACTCAACAGTGACCCGGGAAAAACCCTGTATATTTGCTCGCAGCATTTTTCCAATGAATGCTTTAAAAATAATGCCACCATCCAAAATATGGTGATGCCAGCAAGCAAGGCACGAAACATACTAGTAAAGAATGGTAAGTTTTTAATTTTTTACGTCACGCGTATCAATATTTATTAGCTTTTGTTGTAGCGTGTCCCACCATACGGAAACCATGTGTACCGGTATCCCATGTATCCGGTCGTGAAAAACGACGTGCATTGAAAGAAAGGAAAAAGATGGTAGAAGCGCTTCTCGAGGTACACGAAAAACAGCATCCGGTTGACCAGCAGTTCGAGGATTCATGTTCACAGGAGCCATCTGAATGTTTTGTTCCAATGTCGGATGCAACTGAACAGACTGAAACTGTCGCTGTCAGCTCCGGATCAAACCTTGATGTCCTTCTGGAAGCAATCGAATTATCGGGAGGAGTACATGATTCTGGATTTTTCGACGTCGATGCAAGTCCGGTTGATTCGATTCACGTTCGTGCCGATTTAGAATCCACCCGCATTGAGCATTCCTCTAGCACCACCGCTGCAACCAGTGCTACAAAAGTAGGAAATCATGTTGCAAGATTAAACAGCCAAGTACGGCGCTTGAAAAGTACGGTCCAAGCACGAAACGATAAGATCAAGAGCTTGCGCTTGCGGGTAAGTCTTCTTTACTTCATTGAAAATCGATAATAAAAGGCTTCATCCACAGACAACACTAAATGCCAATCATCATTTATTCATTTAAGGGTTGATTTATATGTTTATTTGACCCCACTGGTGGGACGCGTAGGCATCTAATATGGAGTTCGATGCTCCACTCTTCCGTGATCTATTGAGTGCTCTGCCCTTCATACTGATATCCACAGGGTGCTCAACAGATGACGGTAGTGTCTTATAGCCGATGATTTGCAATCGAATTTGTTCATGGTGTTATGTCGGTTTGTCTATGATTCAACCTTGGCTTAAACATTTTTTTTTAACAGGTGATGCAGAACAACCAAAAATTCATCGCGCTGATGAACGTGATTAAAACAAAAGACAAGGAGTTGAAAGAGAAAGAACGACAACTTTGCGAAAAAGACTGTGCTGTGGAACATCTTCGAAAGGCCTGTGGTGAGCTAAACGATGTGAGAGAAGCCCACATAACCCAGCGTGTGAGAAAAGAGTTTGCCAAAGTTTTCACAGAGAACCAAATTGATTTGATACTTGGCAATAAGAAAAAAGTGGTTTGGACAGCGGAAGAAATTGCAAAGTCGTTCTCGTTGAGGTATGATTAAAATTTTTTTTAAATACACTACCCATCATAAAAAAACAGAATTTTCACTTAAACTTGAAAAATTCACTCCTCCTTTGTAATCTTGATGTCATTTTGTATTTTACAAGATGATTTATGACTTTCCTGTAGTGATTCTCTTCTCTACAAACTGGTTCACAACTTTTTTGAAGTGATTTAATAAATTTGCTAGTATTAGATAGTAGTAGTATTCCATAGATTTCTAAGGTGTTTTAGTTCTTGAATACTAATTTACTATTTTTCTGAATTGATTAAGTAAATAGCAAAGTGATTATTGATTTTTCTAAAGTGATTCACTAATCAGTAATTGATTCTAAACTTTCCTGAAACGATTCCTTACTTTGTAAAACTTTCCTGAAATTTTTCGCTAAATTAAATGTTTATAATGGAAATTATGTTTATAACGTTTTACAGATACCACAGCAAAGTCGCTTATGAAGTGCTACGATCAGAATTTAAATACCCTCTGCCATCCTTGCGAAGCTTGCGTGAATGGGCATCTAAAATCAATATGCGACAAGGATTTTTGGAAGACGTGTTGACTTTTCTTCAAATTGCCGGTGCTCGCATGTCTGATCGAGAAAAAATCACCGTTTTAGTGTACGATGAAATGTCTGTTAACTCCACCTGCGAGCTCGATAAGAGAAACGATGACATCATTGGACCACATTCGGAGATGCAATTAGTAATGGCTAGAGGATTGTTTTCCCAATGGAAACAACCGATATATGTCGGTTTTGACGTGCAGATAACCAAGCCGCTCCTTGAAGACTTGATTACACGGTTGCATAAGATCGGATTCATAGTCGTCGCCAATGTCCATGATTGTGGAGGTGGTAATCGCGGTGTATGGAGAGATTGCGGTGTCAACTATGAAACGAAGAGGACATCGATGAAACATCCAGTAACTGGAAATGACATTTTCTTCTTTCCTGATGCTCCTCATCTTTTAAAGCTTATTCGTAATTGGTTGTTGGATGCCGGATTTCTTCATAAAGGTGAAACAATGTCATCGTCAAACCATGCATCAATTTACAAATTTTACTATTTTGATCTAAAACAGGAAAACTCGTCACGAAAAAGTTCCTGGAATTGCTCGTTCGAAAGACTTCCACGTTGAAGAGGCCTTTGACTGAAAATGGAGAGTCAGGTTCCGTAGAATTCAATTCTCTATTTAAATTGTCTTTTAGACATCTATCTGTTCATGGCTCAGAACGACAAAACGTGAGATTGGCTGCCCAGCTATTAAGCCATACCACGGTAATTAATTTAAGAAGACACTTCGGTCAGTACGAGGAAGCTTGCCTGCTGGCGGAGGTAATTAAAACCGTAGACAAATGGTTCGATTTGATGAACTCATATAGCCTGAAGCAAAACATACCATCAAAAAAATGTTATGGAATGGAATTGGAACTTCAAAATCAGATTCTAGACAATATGGAAGCATTGATGCTGGATATACGAGTATTGGAGAAGCATTGTCTTCCTGCTTGTGCGAATATGAAGGTAAGTTTTTAGATTAACAAACTAACACAATTTAATAATATTCAATTCGATATTTCCAGCTATTTCAGCAAGCAATCCTAATTTCTATCGAGTCAACTAGAAAACTGTTGATTGAGGTGCGTACAATGCCTAATCTGGAAGATGGTTTTATCATGACTTATAAAGTCAATCAAGATTGTGTAGAGAATGAGTTCGCAATGGTTCGCCTCAACGGAGGCACACATGATCACCCATCACCCCTGCAAGCCCTGGACCGCTTAAGACTGATGATTCTCGGGAAAGGCTTGTCAAAGCAAGTTAAAGTCAACCAAAATACACAGAATATTTTGATAGAAGAGGATTATCTTATCGCAAAGGTGTTCCGTAAAGCTAAAATTGATTCCGGAAAATCGAATAGTGATGAAAGTGATTCCAGTGACGACGAAAATTCAAATCCATTTGTTCATGAGTCCAAATTACGGAATCTCGAGGAAGCTGACGGCTTTGAATATGCCATGGGTTACATAGCCAAATCTCAAACCAAGGATCATCCCAATTTAGGATCATTCACGTACCAGCTAGAAGATGGAAATGATCCAGGAATGAATAAGGAAAACTACGTTCAGGATATTTCGCATGGAGGGTTGGTGATGCCATCTCAGGAATGGTTGGAAGTTGGAGAGCAACTCGATTCTTGTTTCAACTGGATGCATAACATTGGACCAGAAGGAAGTGAAATTGGCTTTAAAAAGAAAAAAAATGTAAGTGAAAGGACTTTGCGAAAACTTAGAAATCAATTTCCGCAGTTGCCAGAAGATGTACTTAAAAACTATGCCAGAAAAAGGGTTGCAATTCGAGTGCGTCATATGAAGAAACAAATACTGGAAAGCAAATTACAAAAAGCTAAAAACCGTAGGCTGAAGTCACGGCTCAAAACACAAAAAGGAAACAGTGAAGTTAATCAAAATGATGCAAATAGTCCCACAAAAGTGGATCAAAGAAGTGCAATAGTGAGTAAGAATTCAAAAAAACTGAAGCATTTTATTAACTAGTATATAAGTTGCCATCATAAATGTAAACGACTAAATGATTCTTATTTTAATATACCTTTTGCATATATCCATGATAAATCAATATACTTACTACCAAAATTGAAAAAAAAAAGAAATTCACATTAAATACAAACTTATTCGTTCTTGCAAATAGAAAAGTGGACCAAGATGACCATTCTAACGTAAGTAGAATAAAATTCCACAATACTGACCTGAAACTAATTATATAATCCTGCTATAGGATTCCACAACAAAAATAAAACATAAATTCACAGGAAAATTACATTTTCAGCCTATTTTTTTTTTACTTACGTGGTAAGATGATCAGTATGGGGCAAAATGATCACATGTACAACTTTAAGGAAAAATGTGTCCTTCAAATCCAAATTAAGTAACGTCAAAGGAAGTAAGCACTTCGAAACTAATCAAAACCTGAATTTATTAACCAATGGTGTGATCTGATTATAAGGTTATAAGGCAGATTCATAGCACTTTCCCCAGGGTAAACACGTACCCTAATAAACAAATAGGTATCATAAACGACCGGCAACCCCCTTGATAGAACTATCCCACAAATGGTTTATTTGAAAATCGCTGCTCTGGAACCATTGCAAAATTTTGAGTGATATTCAATCACATTAAATTGAATAACTACCAGCAAACACAATTTCCTTCATAACAACTGAATATCCAGTTTCAAATAGTGACGTCACCAAACCTGTCCTCACATTGTTTTCGTTTTGTTTCCCTACTAACACTATGGCAATATGCGTTGCTCCCCACCTTGTATTTACCTCATTGGTGACGATGAGTTACTATCGATTTGAAATTGGCTCACTACTTGACTAGCCTATTGGTCCCAAGCAAACGATTAACGTATCCCATTCTAGTCGAAATTCTAGTACTACACTATGTTTGTTTTGATTATCTATGAAAGTTTGACAGATAAAATGAGGGGTTCGTGGATTTTCCCATGTTTCGAGGGGTGCATTGATTATCTTGGGACCGAAGATAGTACCAGAACTGAGCCAAAAGGTTGAGCACGTTTCTTCGGGACCTATTAGTCTTAGAGTTACCTCTATGATACAACCATAGAGGTAACTCTAAGACCACTGGGTCCCGAAGAAAATCATTATTATTTTTGGCTCACTCAGTACCAGAACAACGGTCCCAAGCAGTCCCAAGCTATTTCACTCACCCCTGCATGTTCTGCATGAATCCACACACCCCTGATGTTATCTGTCAAACTTTCATAGCGAATCAAAACAAACATAGTGTAGTAATAGAATTTCAACTAGAATAGGGTACGTTAATCGTTTGCTTGGGACCAATAGGCTAGTCAAGTAGTGAGCCAATTTAAAATCGTTAGTTTCGTATTGATTGTTGATACAACTCTGGACATTATAGATTCAATTGACTGACGTCCAGAAAACTTTAGAGATTTCCTTATTTTCCATGCATTTAAAAACTGTTGAAATCATGAAACACTAAGTTGAAGACAAAACAAAAAATTTTGACATATTTTCCACTAAGAAGAAGGAATCTTGACAGTATTTCAATACGCTCAATAACTCTATTCTTACCGAGTAACCAGGAGTTCCTCTCCCTATTGTCGAATCTTTGTAAAAGCAACTGACTCAGCGAATTGCCATTCCATACAAAAGAGTCATAGAAGGAGCCCGGGTGGTTGGCATCGAGATACCGAATCATCAAGTTATGATCACAAACCTGTAAATTGTCAAATATTTGCATGAGTAAAATTAATGAGATCTAACACCTTGCATCTCCTTTACCAACATAACATTCAGACTGTAAAAGCCTTTACGGTTGTAAAACAGGTGTTTATCGCGAGCCGGAGGGATGATACGTGGGTTCCATCTACGCATCCGATTACTCCTGGAAATCCAGTTTTCTCGTAGAAACCCAGTTTAATCGCATTTGTTTCTCTTTCTTCGAATGGAAACTGGATTACAGCTGGGCACACTTCAGTTTCAATAATGTCCAACAGAAGTTGCAGCACTTAAGACATCGTTGGTTGTGCCAATCCAATAAATCTATCGTTACCTACGCCCTTCTGGTAGTTGCCTTCTGCAAAAAACCTCAACGAAGCTGCCAGCATGATCATTGGAGGCACTGCCGTGGACAGTTGTACCACAAACGAAGTTACAGACGACCAACTGGCGAAGAAATCAATTAAAATAATGTGGTTCGCTGTGATAGAATATTCTTAGAAGCTTATGCCATCAGCCAGCAGATGGGCTAGTATTTTTGTTTTGATTTGAACATAGTTGACTTTGTGTGCAATATGATCTTTGACAGTGTGCAAGGAGTGTATCATTTTGTCATTTTTTATGCATTTCAGTTTAGAGTAGAGTAAAAGAGATAGAACCAAAACATTCTAGTACATTTAGTGTTGCCATGTGGTACAATCCATTAGTAGTGTTGC